TGGAGGTTGTGCAGTTCACTGCTGCGCTCCAGGAAGGCACGTCTCAGACCCCGCCCTCCGGCATGGAAGTAGATCTGAATGGTCACCAGGCATCGACTCAGCACCTCACACTGATACGGTGTGAGACCTTTATTCATGTCGCTGGCAAAATCCTGTAAAGAGAAAGGAGAGAGGAGTAGGGGGCACATGGAGAGAGACAGACAGCTTTTAAAAATTAAATTTCTGTTAGCTGCAACAAAGCAACTAGGTAATGTTATTGAGGGGAAGTAAATGCCTCTTCTACGCGCTTGGGATGATTACAATTGCGGCTGCAAGAGAAAGCCACTTTTTGACTAGAACCGATCCCTCCAATTGGAGATTCCGTCTTCCGTCTGGTCTGTTCTGGTCTGACTACCACTAGATGGGTTGTACAGTTAAAATGTAGTTGGCGGCACAGCCTTAAGAGACAGACGAACAAGAAGTGTATAAACAGTGAGCCTTTCAATTTTTACATTTCTGGTAGCTGCTAGAAGGTATGGTTTACAAAAAAAGACACAACAACTACACTGGAGTTGGGTATCGCTAGCTGACGGCGACTAATAAGCCAGAAATAGCCATTCTAGCTGTCTTGTCTTTGTCGGTAATACCTAAAAAAACTAGACAATATGTCCTGTGGGCAGATGAGGGCAAGTAAATTCCTCGTCTGTCCCCCTTAAGATTACAATGGAAACCTGAAGGGGAGGCCACTTTTTGACTGGAACCCGATCCCCCTCCCCAATGGCAGAGTCCGTCTTCCGTCAGTTTGAAAGAGCTCTGATCTGAATTGAATACGATCGGATGGGTTGTACAGTTGACAGTCCACGCAGACTTAACTGACTTTCATTTCATTTGTAGAGGGGGGAAAGCTGCATAAATGTGACCGTTGTGACTTGAATTACTCAACCTGCAGGCACTGTCGTTTACCGCAATCGGCTGCAATCACACGCCCATTGAGCCTTTGACAGAAGTTTAATTTAAGTCCCAAAACAGCACGCCAAAAGTCCATCCTTGTGTAATAAGAGAGCAATGATAATTAATATTATAAAGGTTGAGCACTACAGAGGAAGGAACATGTAAATAAAAAAAGGAGAGCGCATCATAGTAGAAAAAAATTGGAATAATTATTTAAATAATCTGATGTTTGGCAACAAAAAAGCGCGCCTTAAATAAAATGGGCAACTACGCAAATATCGGGAACTGCCCAAATGTGCGGAAAAACGCAAAGAACTACGAATTTCTGAGATTAAAGTAAAGCGAAGTAAAAAGAATAAAAATCGCATTTCACTAATGAATCCAAAAATAACCTAAAAACTGCACAAACACTAAGGTAAAGGTAAGCTAAATTAACTAAACCAAAACTTAATAGAAAAATAAAAAAGCACAAATCGGACACAGTAATTAACTAAAAACTAAAGTAAAGTTTGAATTAAAATGTGAAAAGTTAAATAAACCAAGCTAACTAAACTGAGGCAAAATAAACTAGTTAAGATTTTAATTCCAAAAGCAACCGCATGTGGCTAATGAATATAAAACTGAACTAAAAACATAAATTAACGCCTAACTAAACTGATTAACAAAGGTAAGCTAAAATAAATCTAAAAAACGTAATAATGAACTAAAAACAAAAGTAAGACTGAACAGCAAATACAGTTAACTATAACTATAAATAACCCATAAACCAAACTATAAACAAACTATTTATGTCGTGCTTTTTTTCGCTAAACATTAGATTGTCTCAACAATTTTGGGATCTAAGTTAAACTTTCTACGAAATTTCTGCCAGATATTGGCGCTTCGAGCAATCACCTTGCAAAAAATAGATTTCAGCTTCTAAAAAGTTGCCTCGTGAAGCAAAAAATAGCACAAACACATTTATATCTTTCCTAAGACAGGCATGCTGACTGTGGCGCCACTAGGGAGAAGGCTATGCACCTGGAGGAGTTTGGCCGCAGAAACCTGTTGGCTCACATGACTGAGGAGAGTCTGAGCTCCACCGAGGAGTTTTGCAGAAGCGGCGCCCACGGGTGCCAGACCATTCACCGTCTGAAATTGACAAAAGACATAGGAGCTTGCAAAAATGCGGAACGGAGGTAGAAAGTCACTGCGGAATAGTTCTAAGTATTTAAACCTTATTATCACTACTAACGTTGGCCACACAAATTATCTCAGCAGTCTCAAACTTGAACACGAGGCCACAGAACAGGAATTTCACCCGTCTGACGTTTCAGGTTTACACTCGAAAGCATCATCGGCGGAGCTAGAAGGCACAGAAGCTGCCAACAGCAGGTGGTTGCACATACCACACTTTTCTACTGGTCCTTAGCAATCACGTTCCCATCCCCTCAACTGCATGTATCGGCAGTCCCATCAGTGTACAAACTATAATAGAATACCAGCTTGCTTACTCAAAAGACTAAGGTGTAATGCCCCACTCTGTGCGCAGCGCTCGCCCCTCGTGGCTTCTAGCAGGTGCGCATGCATCAGTGTCCGCTTACCCCTAATACGGTCTGGCCAATCATATTACATGGCAGCTGATTCACACATGACTACGCTGTAGACGCCGCGATTACTCCCGAGCTCTCACACTTCGGACACGGTCCTCTCTCGGGTGGTCGTGCACTCGTCTGACTTTCAACCCCCCC